CTGATACGATTAGCATTAAGGTTTTCCCCATAGTCTCATTTCTGTAAGAAGTCAAGATGTTTTCCATCTGTCTTGCCAGTCAGGTTGACAGGCTGAGCTAAGGAGTCGCAGTGCAGGTCGCTTCAAACAACAGAGGCCATAGGGTTTCTCCACGAGTTTGAGCTTCTATGTGGTGGCTTCTGTCACTTTGTATTCACGAGCTCCTGCGTGTTGATGTCGGGATGCTGAGCTCATGGTGCTGGTGTTCCCACACCATGCTTCAAAATCTGGTGCGTACCTGGATGGTGCATCATCCTCACGTACGCATGGTTGCCACGATTACCAAATGTGGGGTCAGGAGAGTTTTTCTGCATGTCAGAATACCAACCATGTGGGGTTTGCACGTAGTGAAGCATATTGCTATTGCAAAGGCAGCTGGCAGTACTTTTGACCCTTTTATTTCTTTCCCGTAGGCTTTTATGCTGAGATCTCAAGAACGCTCTCTGGTGCTGGGAAATACTTTGGTACAGGAGCTTGTGGAAGAAAAGGGATTTGCTTGACTGGATGTTTTGTGATCTCTTGAACTTCACAATTCTTTATGAGAGCAGGAGATTGGACTCGGAGACCTTCTAGTCCCATGTTCCTGTGTAAAAAAATAAAAAAAAGTTATGACAATTCAGTGGATTTCCTACTCCTAAATGTCCTCATATGTAAGGTCGGCATTTACTTGAGCAACGTGCGGTGCCACGTTTTGGGGACTGTTCAGGGTTAACTACCGTTTTCAGGCTCATTTTGTAGAGCAATTTGCCTGATACCTATCCTGCACACTTAATTAATTTCTATAAACTCTTAGTAGGATCCAGCTATTCTCTTGCAGTGGGAGTATAAGCTGTTTTCCAGATATGTATGTTTGCTTAAGATGTAATAGATAGATAAAGAGGGAGGTCAAAGATACTTTGAGTTATTTTCTCTTGAAAGTAGGAGCCCTTAATTAAAGAAAAATAACAAGAGCAGCAAAACCTTCATGCTTCTATCCAGACTCTAAATTAATTTATGGAGAGAAATCTGGCACCCTTTCCAAAGGAACAAATGGTAGTACTGAAGTGTGCAAAGAATGTTTTCTAGTATTTACAGCACTTATATTTTTAGTCAAAACAAACACATTTGTGTTGGGTTTCTGCTAGATGCCTCAGTACAGATCGTTTGAATCACATTGTCCAGTGGGCATTTTTATTAATTTAGTGCCATTAGAAATTTGTTTTGGTTTAGACCATGGGATTTGAATACTAAAGGAGAGGGAGGAGGCAAACAATTGGAAACGTGAGTGACATTAGGTATTGCAGGCCCATGAATGTAGGCAGTGCAGGCTTTTCTTTCCTTGCCTTGGTCTGTCACTTTGTGTGTGTGTGTATTTTTATGTGTGTATATATATATATATATAAAAGGGAATTAAGTGACACTTGAGATATCATTTGGTCTTGGTGAATTTGCTGTATGGTCAAACAATAGCTTGATTAAATGTCTTCAAACTCCTTGAAATACAAATAAAAGCTTCAAATATAGGAGGTGTATGGTACTGAAGTATGTTTATAATAGGTGAGAAGAGGAAGGTTGGAGCAGTAACTTGAGACCTGCAGTAACTGCAACTGCAAGTTTAAGTTCTGTCTCTCTCTCATTCTCTTTTTGCTCAGATGCACTCGCTGTTGAAATGCTGCTTTAGGTGGCAAAGCTGGTTTGGGACCAAACTATGGGATGTTTGAGGGTGCAACACAGCCTTGCCCAGAACTTTTACTGCCCATTCTAATAAAAAGACTTGCCATTTTATTGCTTTCCACATTGTGTAGTCATTCATGGTGGTATACAAAAGATTGCTTGTCTTATTTTTTGCTGTTTTGCCCTTTGATCTGCATTTGCACGATGCAAATAGCTGCGCTGTGCCAACAGCAATACATGGTCTGTGGAAAGCCAGCAGCCTCCTATGCCTGAGAGAAAGTGGAGTCCAACTGCCAGTGCTGGAGCATGGGCACCATAGGTGCCAGCACTTCAGTAACCAAATGTTTTGCAACAGCTGGTATATAAATAAGTACAGATAGCTCTCTAAATAGAGGAACAGTGGAGGGGGCTTAGATTTCTTTAATGATTCCTCTGTATTTGGGTAACATATGGGCTACAAGCTCCTGCATTTCTCCTGCCCTGAAAGCCAAAGAGGTCACACAACCACTGCTGTGGCCAGTGTTGGAGTTACTCTTGGCCATCAGGTCCTTCAGGCTGTTTTGCTGGGGAGGCACTGAGTAGCAGGGACAAGTTCTGCTGGGGCTGCTGCCGGGCACCGCGTTTGGGATGTTTGCGTGATGCATGCACACTTCTGTCACGCTAAAAGGACAGCGCGGGCAGCTCCGTGGCAAGCTCTGAAATGAGTACGCAGGAATGTATGTATATTTGTGCCAAAATCTGCCTTGCAATGGAAGGCTGTGCATCAACGAAGCCCAAGAGGTGGGAGTGTGTGTGGGGAAACTGGAAGAGAGCTACCAGGCACCCCTGGCTTCGGATGAGTTTGCATGAAGGTTTAAAATAACTACTTCTTTTATAAGTTTGGGCATCTTCAGTCTTCACTGTGTCATTTTGTGCAATACTTCTTTGGTTTGGGATTTTTAAGTCCTTGGGGATTGAGCTTTGGCTTGTGTTTAAGCTGAGACCAGAGGGCAGGAAAAATGTGGAGTGTATTAATTGTGCATCGGATTTTCCCTATGATGTTGTTTTTTCTCTAGAAATTTGGGAGGGGGAGCATTAGGAGCTTGTCACTATGATTTTTTTTGGCATCCTGCTGATTTTAAAATGTATTCTCTGCGTTTCTCTTCAGTCTTTCACCTACAGACTGCAGGGTACCCTGAGGCCAAGGGCAAAGTGAATAAAGCAGTTTCGGGTATGGCCCGTATGTCTCCTTGTAGACAAGTCCTAAACAGATCCCTGCCCCAAGGAGGGTACAGACAAGGGGAAGCACCGAAAGAGGTGACAAAATTCAAATACACTTGAATGCTTTGGTTGTCTCACCTTGCTCCAGTGGTTCACAGCAATGATAGATGCAATGTACGGCTGCTGTACGTTTCTGGGTGGCACGGAGCAGCCAGGGGCGTACGGAGTGAGTCTGGCCCCATATTCATCAGGCAGCAACTGACTGCTTAATTTCCACTCTAGTGAATCGGAGGGAAGAAGAGGGATAAAATAATGGGCAAAGAAGTGCATGGGGTTGAGTAACTGTGCAGAAAGGAAGGACATTGAACAGTGCCAGTCGAGAGAAAAGAGAGATACTGCTGTTCATTTCTGAAGATACTGCAGAGAAATCTTTGGTATGGAATGACAGATAGCACTGGCAGTGACAGCGAGAAAACAAGGGAAAAAATGTCCTGTTTTTCAGGCCATTGGAAACTTGAGGTCCTCACCTGTTTATCAAGTTCAACCCAGTATGGCTGAAGACATGGCTGAAAAAGCAAACGGATAATACCAGTCGGCAGAGAATTAAAATAAGGAAGGTGAACTGTAGCCAACCAGTAAAAGCTGGTGGTGCTTATTTAAATGTTTCTATTTGTAAAAAAAAAGATATTCATAATCACAAAGTTTTTACCTTTTTTCCCTTCCCTCGATTTGGCGTGCTCTCTTGTTGCCAGGGAGCAATTCCCTGCCATAGTCTTTCATCAAGTGAGTTTGAGCTTTACATCAAATACTGACAAAAAGAGAGTGGGTTTTTCTTCTAAAAAGCACTTTATTCACTTTTCTTTAATCATTTTTGGGGAAAACAGTTGAAGGTAGAAAATTGGCAGAGTTGCATGCCTGAGCCGTAGAATTCTTTTTCTCCATACTGGCGAAAATCAGATCTGATCCAGCAAAATTATGAGAGTTATAAACAATGTTCCATCACCCCACTGGTCACCCGCTGTGGTCAATTATAGTTTTGAAGCTGGCATATAAATATCAGATGTTTGGCTATCGCATGCCTTTACTAATCTCCAACCCAACTAAAACCCTTTGGCGTTACGTATCCTATAATTTGCTAAGTTTTTGAACAATGGCACATTTTGCATTTCATTTCACTTTTCATCCAAGAACCTAAGAATACTCTCCCTTTGCTAGAGAACAGAGTAATTAATCATCGGGGCTGTTTGTAAGGGAAAGGCCCGGCTGTGGGAACGGACTCATAGACAAAATAGAGAATAAAATGTCTATATCCTGCTGCTTTAATCACTCAGAGAAGTATCTCCTCTACATATTATGATTTTAAACCATTTGAATGTTATTTGTAAAGGTATCTTAAAACAGTATTTTTTTCCACACTTAAGGTGTGTTTTCAATGAAAAAGATTTTCTTGTTGGATATTCATTTTTTTTAAAGATGCCATAAAGCTGTTTGTGCTCCATTTCTTGATTTTAGAAATCTCTTCGAGTATTAGATCAGGTACACATCTGTTTTCTGCAGGGAAGACTTCCAATTTTGCCTTAATTTCTATCCATTAAAATTATAAAGAATAATCTAAATAAATGAGAAAGATTTCTAAGAGAGAATACTTATTAAAATATGCAGGCAAGTCTGCATTTTAAATCCAGGTGTTGTACTTCTTAAGCGCTCTACATCCCCAGAATATAAATGTTGATCAGTGCACCAAGTGTTCATGCGAGTCAGCCACTGAGCGACGGCAGGAGAATTTGGAGAGCTTCTTTGATAAGCCGTTGTCACTTTTTATCCCTTACCTTTCTGCTTTTAATTCTTTCCTCCCTGTTGCTGTGTCAGATGTCCTGCTCTTTCTCTCCAAGGCGCTTCCTCGTGAGTCGTGTTCCTCGCTCGTGACCTTCCACACGTGCATATGGTTTTACTGTGGTTGTTACAACCCTGGGAACGGAGCCAGGGCTGGGATTACGGCTGCTCCTGCTCCTCTATCTCCAGCGTTCAAACAGGCTATTAGGGAATTTGTTCTGGTGTTGCTGTTGGGTGCAGAGGGTGATCCTGGTTTAGGTTGCTGTCTTATGGCCATGGTGGACAAGATCTTCGGTCCCGGTATTCCCAATTTATACCCCTGCTTTTTGTTTTGAACGTGCTCACTGAACCTGCGTCGCCTCTCTCCTCCCAGGGTGGGATGTTTTTCAGGTCCGTGCTGCAAATACAACTTTTAGACTGAACTGTTTGCAGGGAGGAGATGGATGTGAGGAGGGAATCCAAAGCAGTTTGCTGGAGCTAACAAGGTGGCTGAGAAACGTCCCCTCTCAGGTGTGTCACCTGGTCTTGCAGTGCTCCAAAGCAGTGATGTCTGTGGGGCTCTTCCATAACTGAAGTAAACAGGGGTTAAGGTAGACGTTCTGCCCAGGACCTCCAATGTTATACCTATTGGCGGAATTATTGATTGGTAGAGTTAGGTGCCATATGTTTACTGAGCTGGGAAACTAAGTAAGTTCTTCCCCGTGAAGAAAACCACTAAATATGTACCTCTTCCTTAATGTATTTTGTAAAGTCTGCTTGGCCCATAGGGCAGAACCTCTCCCCTGTGCTTAAAAGGAAGGAATAGTAGAAGCTAATGGAAAAAAGACATTTCCTACGCTGGCTTGTTTTCAGAGGTAATTATTGCATATCACACAATCTTAGATAAGATGAAATCTAGTCATCGTAAAGAGGTACAATTCCACTGCCTCCAGCGGGTCTCCACCTGTGTGTGTCAGAGCAGGATTGGGAAGGTGATGCTCTGGAGAGTGTGGCCATAGCTGGCTGTTTATAGACCGCAGGAAGGGAGGAGGGCTTGCTCTCCAAGCTGGACTTCCATGCATCTATTACCCAAGGATGGTAATGCAGCATTTGTTCTTGTAAATCAGTTCTGGTTTTTAGCATGACAGTGATTTTGATTAATAAATATGTGTCCTCTATCCACTCCTGAGGGTTTGGATGTCATGGCAGAAAGTGACTTTTGTGCCTGAACGAATGTGTATGTAAATTATGTCAGTAGCTTTACTTATGCCCTGGCCCACAAAAATTGACACATGTAAGGGCTTCTGAATAATGGGCTTTTGAAGCCCAAACAGTTCAATTTCCAGGAGTTGTACTTACAAAAGAAATTCAGGAAGCCCATCAATGACACCGCGAGCATCTTGACGCTGTCCATTATTTTGGCAATTGGTGGAGTTCCCCTCACAGGAAAATCCTGTAAATGTATTGTCTGTCTCATATATAATTTTAAAGCCAACGTTTAAGAATTCTGTCGCTGAGATACTATTTTTTAATAAATATTTATGCATTCGGAGTAGTTTATAGAAGGCTTCTTTGGAACCCTCTTGACCTCCTCCTTGGGCAATTCTCTAGGATTTTCTGTAGGAATTATCCCTAAGTGATGTCGTAAGTGACTTGAGGATATTCAGAAGAGTTAACGAGGGTCACTTCTGAGAGCACGAGTCATCTGCGACATTGAGTTATAGACATTGATTGTCTTTGAGCTCTGCACACACAGGCGGCATCTTGGAATGTCCCCAAATCCATGTGGTGGTGGCAGCAAAGTCATCCGTACTGGCTGAAATTACACTGGGCTTCTCCTTTCTTTTTATCCACTCTAGGTGTTCTCTGCCTGCCGGACAGCTTGAACCTTCACAAAGACCAGCAAAGGTCAAACAAGCCTGGGGAAGTGCAGATGTTCAGCCAGTCAGAGCTAAGGACCATCGAGCAGTCTTTACTTGCTACGCGCGTGGGGAGCATTGCTGAACTCAGTAAGTACAAGGCTGTTGATAATGTTTGGGTTTCTTTCCTCGAAGTCAAATTCAGTTGCATCGCCTGGTTGTGCAGAGGAGAGATGAGGGGGCACGTGTAATGCTGGGGCAGATTTAGCCATGCTTATGCTCCATGGACAGTTTGGAAGCCGAAACCATAGGAGGAGAGAAGTCTCGCGCAGTCTCACAGCAATGCGTATGACTTGTTTGCATACACTGCTTTCATTTTTGAAGGTGAAACATGCTTTATTTCATCTTCCATGTGTTGTGTTTGAGGGCACCTCACGGCTTGGCCAGACTCGCTAACGGCTGTCGTATTGGTGTCCTGTCTCATTTCACTGGGATGCCTGTTTTGAGATGGGCAAGCAAAAAGCTGAAGGTTGCAATAAGTGAAGGAAATATCATCACAAATTTAAAGCAGAGCTAGTTCCATGTGTGTTAGAGAGGGTCCTTCGCCCTGCCTTTCCTTCTCCAGTTCCAGCAGAGGAAAGAACCGCAACTCAAACCTGCGCCAGAGGAGTTTGCGCCTGGAAGATAAATTATTTGCTATTAAACAAAACACTTTTTAGGAAATGTGAGAACCTATGCTATCTTTAAAAATCTGAAAGCTTTGGTTTCAGCACAAATGAATTGTAGGAGGCAAATGCCACGTGAATCCTCATGTGACATGGAGATAAAGTTACCAAAAGTGCCTTTTTAAAATCTTTTTTTTATTAAGAGAGAAGCCTTCCAATCACATGTTTACAGTATAGAGATATGAAGCTATGGGTGGGAAAACAGAAATGTTCAGGCAAAAAAGGGGTTTTTGCTGAGGTCTGTCAGAAATAACATCAAGTATTTTATTTCCTGAGTTCTGTTAAGAAATTTTGAGGGGAAATTGAAAAGACTCAAATCTATGAAGATACACGCAGCCCAGCTTATCGTTGTTGTTATTACCCAATTCTGGGTTGTAAAGAACATGCCTAAGGATCTCATGTTCATTTTCCTAGCTTTCTCTGTAGTAACGGGAGTCTCCTCTGTAGCTCCATCATATCATCAGGGCTTAGTTTACGCACTGTTCATGAGCCGTGTGGAGGCACCGTGGATGTTTGTCTGCAAGCCACAAAATGAATTTCTTTTTTCAGCTTGCTAATTTTTCTCTGCTCTGGTAAAACGTCAACAAGCCAAGAGCACTTACATGCCTTAGCGTGAAGTGTTGCTTCGTCTCTGGAATCAGGTGTTTGGTGTTATTCAAATTAAGTAATTTATGCTTATTTATTTCACGCACATGAAACACACAACAGTACTGTCTGTGTGCCAGCTAAATTATGCATGATACAGCCTTCTTTGTTCAAGTATATATGGTTGTGTTTTAATAAGTAAGTAATCTGTGGATATTTCAAGGTTTTTTTTTTTTAAATTGTGGATTTTTTTGAACCTCTGTACAGAACCCAAAAAGCCAGACTCCTTAATTAACACCCCCCCCCTCCCCCCAATTTGATTTCCAGAAAACTATCATCTCTAAGTAGGTCTACCTCAGATTCAAATGCTTGTTTGATAGGGTTTCCTTTCTGTATGTCTGTTGACTGCAAACACAGGCAAAACACTCTTCAGGGTGGCCAACTCGAAGAAAAGAGTGCATCAGTGGGAGTTAGATGCAGCTGTCAGAGAGAGGCTGGCACCTCCAGCACGCTGGTAGCCCTCCAGAAAGCCCTCTGGACAGCCATCGAGGGTACCTCCCCAGCCGCTGCAAGCAGATGCATGTTGGGGAAGAAGCGGTAGGAGGAGTGGTAATTGGCAAAGCTTCCAAGGCTTGATGCTCAGTTGGGTAGAAATCTTTGCCATGGAGCAGCGCCGGTGCAGAGTTCAAAACTGAACTGTGAAATGTGGAGGGAGGCCTGTCGTGTCAGTGGGCAGAACCCTGTGGATTTGGGGGAAAAAATCCTAAAATGGAAGGAAAAGGGAGGGGTTGGGGGTACAACAAGAGTTTTCTCTTTCTTCAGTGCTTGTGTATCTGTCTCTGACATCAGCGGAGGCTGTGACCTGGAGATTACAGCAAAGCTTCTGCTGCAGAGGGAGGCTGGGGAACCACAGCGTGGGGGCAGAAATGCTGAGCAGTGGGGAGAAGCCAGGGGGGAACACCTGGGAATCAGGGTGCGTTGGTGAGGAGGGAGTAGGCAAAGGAGGATTTATCGTTGCCCTGGTGGTGTGAGGGGGATGGAAAGCTTTAGAAGTGGTGTTGTGGAGAGGGAAGAGGATATGGAGAAAGTGGGATATGAGGAAAAGGTTAGGTACGTAAAAGCCCCTGCTTTTGTGGGGATTAATAAAGATGGGGGGGGAAGACTCTTTGGCTAGGAGGGAATTAAGAGGATAGCACTTGTGAAGGGAGGAGGAGGAGATGGCAACCAGGAGTGAGTAGCAAGGGCAAAGGCTTGACCATCAGAGTGGGCAGTCCCCAAGCATGTGTCTGCAATGTCCCGCCAGCTTGCAATATCCCAGGAGCCAGGACTTCATTTCTGTGTTCTTCATAAGAGCACAAAAGACAAGGGCAAAGAGGGATCTTGCAATAAAGCAATTTAATTTTATCTCAGAGGAAAAAAAAAAAAGCAATTCTAATTGAATGAGATTTCCTATAGTTTATCAACATTAATAATTAAAGTGTTGCAAGTATGCAGAATAACTAGAATTAACAAACGCCTGCTTGTGGAGGAAAGGCTTCCCCTGCTCTCAGTTCTGCCCAGCATCCTTGCACGCAGCGACATGGCTGGCTGCTGAGCTGCTGGAGGCTTTGAGATGGGAAATTGAATCTGTTTCATGAAGGATGACAGCTGGCAAACGGGACCCGTTTGCTGCCCAGCACCTGTATTTCAGCTCAAATCTTCTTAGTTTCTTCATGGTCTTTGTGTTTGTCTCAGGTGGAAAATAGATTCACAAGGTGAAAAGCCTTGCATCTTGTGGTACCTTTACCTTTTTCTACACATGATGCTCTCATTCATCTGCCGTCTTCGTTTGTTCATGAATGCTGTCAGTGTATTAGAAAAGAGCGTTTGGGTGAGCTGTGTCTCCCTGGGGGGTGAAAGATGCGAGAGAAAACTGGGGAAAAGTGGGATGGTGGACACAACCGTAGAGAGAGGGCAGCACCCTCCGGGAGTGCTACAGAAGAGGAGGTCAACCTGGGCTGCCATTGAGGGGTCCTCATGACTGGGCAGGTGCAACCGGGCTCGCGGATGCTGCTCCAGTCCCCTCCCAAACCCTGCTTGCCTGGTGCTTCTGCTCACATCTCCTGGGCTTAGCAGGCAGCGGGCGCTGGTCGTCGCTGGGACAGCCCTGCCCTGCCTGGCGGCGGCGGGCGAGGTAGCGCCGCTGGCCCTGGGCTGCTCTCCTGAAAATAGGAAGAAGAGGCGGTGTTGCTGACTTAAGGGAAAAATCAAAGCAAGGTTTTGTCTCCAGGTCTTAGGAGGAGAATGTAAATAGAGACCTAATTCTGCAACGCAATTACAGTGGTAACGTGTGATTCCAAGGAAAAGGCTTGAAAAATTAATGTGAAACCTTATTCATTAAAATATAATGAACATGGCACAAAGTTAAGGAACAACAATAAATTTGGTCTATGTTATATTGGCATTTAGTATTCAGGAATTGTAATTGCCTACTACAGTGTGTTTTAAAATAATGTAATTTCATTTGAAATGCTTATTACATAGAGAACATTGGGAAGAACTGAAGCACAGCAAAAAATAATAGGATTTTAAACAGTAGCCTGACAGTATTTCACTGTTTAATCTTAGAGAAAATATTTCACAAGACTTTTTTGGGGGTGTTGTTTTGGTTTGGTTTTTTTTTTTTCCCTAAAATCGCCTGTATTTCCAGACCAGACCTAGAGGAGAAGAGGAATAGATCTGTTTGGTTTTTGGGTTTGGTGTCTTGGCCCCACCCCACCCCCCGTTTTGGGAATTCTTTTAGATTTCTAGTTCTTCTCTTTTATTTCCTCCCCCTTCAGACAGGGAAAAATAAGTAGACTGAATAGAAAAAGAGAGGAATATTAGGGAGAGCTGTTGAGAGATCCCATGATACTGCATTTTGACCTTTGAATATTTTTCCTAACTTCTTTATATGCATGTTTGCAATCCACAGACGTTTATGTTATATTTAACTGCATAACACTCCAACACACCTATTCATCACCCATCTAAAAATACTGCTGCCGTCTTGGAGACCAGATGTAGAAGGGGTGAGGCTTACAACTGGAGGTTGCTGGTGTTTTTGCTGGCTGAAGGAGGACCCTCTTGCATGTGCACGTAGGTGGTAACAAGGGAGAGTAGAGCCTTAGAGGGCACTGGGCACCAATCCTGGCACCAAGAAATATTCCTCCCTCAGTGCCTTGGGGTGAAGACCGTAAGGTGTTGGTGTAGGGCCGAGCTGGGACCACCACTCCATGTGGAGGCACATGCACAGGGCTGCAGAAGGGTTGTGTCTCTTGAGCTGCACAGAGGGGTAAACTGTGGCTTAGGATGTCATTCAAACCGTGTCTTCACACGTGTCTTCAGGTTAGAGCAGAAGAATATTTGGGGCTTGCTTTGAATCCAACGATGGCCAATCCACCATGGCTTTCCTGGGTAGGAAGTTGGGCACCCAGTCTTGTGCAAAACATGGTGACCAGCGGTGGTATTACTCTGAGCGTTAACCACAAGTAGGCATTTTTATTTTAAACTAGGATAATCTAAAGATGCAGATGCAACTTAACACTGCTGATCTCAGAGCTTTTTAGCCTTTAAACAGTGTTTAACTTAGAGCAGCTCCCAGATGTGATGTTCAGGTCGGTATTTCCTCCACATCACCACTCAGGTCTCAGTAAGGTTTTCCTTTTTGCCACTGGAAAAATGCCACCCTTCCCCATCATCCTCTCTTTGCCTCCGCAGTGCTGAATGTATGTATTTCCAAAATTACAGCCTCACAGTAGATCTTGGCACACTTTTAGGGATGAAAGGAAGGGTTACTGCTTCAAGTGTAAGTAGGAATGT